ATAGACGAATTATTTTTCAATTCTATTGACATAATTTTTAATAATTCTATAATTAATAATAACAAACTTATTTCTAACTTACCAGACGTAGCCATTTTGCTTCTGGAATCACATTCACTTCTGTTAGGAGTACTGCAAATTGATAAGTTTGATTAGATAATAGTTTGATTAACTTCTTGATAAACTTGATCTTTTTTTTATTACAAAGAGATACTTTAATGATTTTAAGACAAAAAGATGCTTTAATGACTCAATTTAATACAGATTATAAGAAAGAAGATTGTAATAGTAAACTCACCTAAATGGTGTAACGCAGAGTCGGCATTCGAATAAAATTACACTTTCTTCTGGGTCCTCATATTTATACTCTTGAGCACTGACATATAAAAGCAGAGACCTACAATTCAGAACATACAAATAATTGCTCATTAATATTGCTTTTAAAATTTACTGCTGTACTCACGAATTATCTTCAGTTTTATACACATCCAAGTCGCTTTGCTTTCAGCAAGCTTTCTGTCCTCTTGGAATCGATACTTCTTAAGAAACATGATTTTGGAGAGGCCGACAGATAAATTTGTCTCTTACATTGTACAGGTAAATTCGCAGCAGACAGTGAATCTTTTTCTACAGGCGATTTATGTAACGGAAATCTGTCATCGTACCAATTTTTTGCATGTAAATTACAAGTTTTGCTTATGTTCATATTTAAATCTTCATTCAACAATTTCTTAGTGTCGCAATCAACACAATCTACAAAATTTTCTTTACACAACGAATCAGATTCAGTTGTGTAAGTGGATCTTATATTATTACTGTTTACTGATTTTTCAACTATTTTGTCAACATCAAACATTTTTCTTGCTGTTACAAATTTCGGGTTTATTTCATTATTTTCAGATTTTATGTATTTCTTATTATCGCCAAAATTATTAATAAATTCGTTCTCTTTTTCAATTTGAAAACTGCTACTTGCATCTACAAAATCACTGTTATTATCTGTTACATCAGTCTCGTCATATCTTCCTTCGTCCAATTTTATTGCCAAATGGTTGTCATATTGCTTTCGTCGTTTTATTCTTAAAGGTTTCTTAAAATTCGACGATGAGAGTTCGCTACTTGTGTCTAGAGTATTGCAGCGAGTACTTGTGTCAGCTCTCTCGGAAAAGATTGTTTTATCCAAGTCAATCGGCTTCAATATGTTGGAATTAAATTCATCAGAAGTGACGTCGCTTTCATATCGATAAGGCTCAAATCTTTTTTGGCCCGAGCGAAACTTGTATATCGATCGTTTCTTTCTTCTTGGTGTCGATTGAGCGACGTGTTTTTTACACCAATTAAATTCAGGATATTGCATTTGAGTTTTGTACTTCTTGAACACTTTCAGGGACTCGACATGCGACGTCTTCGTCGAACATTTTCTTCTCGTACAAAATGGAGTAAAATTAGGCGACTTGCTGATAATAGAGTCATTGCAAATATGCGATGGTGTTAATGAAATTTTACTATTCCTTCTCTTTCTATGACTAGCTGTATTAAAGTTCGGTGACATGCTAACGATAGAATTGTCGAGGATATCATTTGGCGTTAGAGACATTTTGTCGGAGATATCTTTGCATTTTCTCTTGGAAGTGCTTCGTATGTTACACTTCGAGTATTGCCCTCTCATACTCGGAGTGCTAAGTTTTTTCAAGATATCCTTATTAGGACTGTTCTTCATTTTACGTTGGGAATTCTTCGATTTCGTGTGATATTTATTACGTGCGTCTGCAGCCCTCGTTAAATGAAACGACGTGTCGGAATTGCTTATTGCGGCACTGCTTTCCTCCTGTTTGTCTTCTTTTGTAATTTTGAAAGGTCTCGTCAATGCAGTTACTTGTTAACGAGAGATGATTAATTATTTGACTGACGAGGCACTTTTCCTTCTGCATGACGTCGTAAAGGTGTAGATTCGCAAAGTCAAAATCGAGGTCGACAAACGAGTAATTTGGCATTTCCCTCTTATCGGTTCGCAGAACGTTATACTGTATTTGAGCAGTCGGTGCGTGATCGATTCCATAAGGGCATCCATCTAAATTGCTTGGTAGTTTGCATTCGGTTTTGATAACAGCACGTATATTCGACACACGGCTCGAGTCTATGATCATCGAGGAGGAGTTTGACTTGCAATTGGAAGAATCGGTAAGCGATCTCTCCTGCGTCACGTCACCACCATCTACTACCGTGTCTTTCGATGCAACGTACTCGGCAACTACGTCCCCGTTAGTAACTAAAACTTTGTCTGCAATACATTAAGAGCAGTGGTAAGAAATAGCAATTAAAAATTATCCATGGATTGAACGAGCTTGTCGAGACTTACCGAGTACCATACTATACTTTGGCCTGTCATCGTCGTCTTGAATACTCTCGCAGTGATTTGCAAGCATCGTCACAATCTTAAAGTACTTTCCGTCGAAGGCGTAGTGGAACGGACTACGTCCTTCATCGTCCAGGCATAACGGATCACCACCGTTCGTCAGCAGTAATCGCAGGATATTTATTCTGCCCCAAGCTGCCGCGACGTGAACCGGAGTCATTCCGTCATTTGACCTGTGAGCACATTGCACTTGTGTTATTATATTTGTGTTTGCACAAATGCGAGGGATCGCGATAATAACAGTTCAGTTTATACCTCACGTTGGGATTGCCGCCGTGGCGTAGAAACAATTTAGTCACCTCTTCTGCGAATTCCTCCGAATCATTGCCGATAACTAAGTGAAACGGAGTAACTCCGTGTGTTGGAATCAAGACATTAGGATCCGCGTCTTTATTTAGCAAAAGTGTTGCCACTTGCCTGTGACGGAAAATATTTTCAGGTCAAATTAATAAACTTTCAATATCTTTTACAGAAATCGAAGGCACAATGCAATTATAGAAATAGAAATTTATATATCTGACACTTATCCCTTAATCATCCCATACCTTATGTTATTATCCTCAAGTCCATCGCAGAGGGATGAAGCCAAAAATAGGCCAACTTTCGTTTTCGGAGTCGACAACATCCTTCTCGTCTTCGACCGAAGCGTCTAATTATACATAATAACATCGGCCAAGGTACTTCCCACGTATGACATCATTTCTGTTACGACAGTCGTTTGCTCCCTTACATTATTCCATTGTTACAGTAATGAACGACGGTAGCAAAGTGGATCAACAATACCAGTCGGCCGACATCGATTCGTCTTCGCTGCTCCCGAGCCGCTCCAACAAATCGAGAGATTCAAACTTTCGCGTAACAAAAACATAACATTGACGGCAAATTTGGAGCAGGCTGTAAATACAGGACGTTGCAAGTTTATTGCACGTCATTTATCACCGCTGCCCGAGGAGAAGCCCGAGACCACGTCTGTGCTGTGCAACGACAGAGACGTCGCGGACGTTTTCAGGAAGAAGCCGTATCAGGTCGTCGACGAGCTGGCGAAAGTCACATACACCACCAAGCACAGGTGGTACCCCAGGAGCAGAGACAAGAGGGCGAAGGACACGAAACCCGACAGGCCGTACTTGTAATATTCGAAGAGGGATGGATCCGAAGGGCTTTCTCTCGGCGAAAAAGTACTATATTTAATTCACCTTACACATGCAGTTGTTGTACTCTCCGAAATGTGTATTAATAAATGTACAAAGACAATTGTTAATATCTGTCTGTATAAATAGGCTGCCTACATAGTACATTTCTTTTACAGAGCTTAAATACATTGTCAACACCACACTTTTATGCTATAAATTAAATGTATATGTATTCACGGTTGCATTACAATATTAGATAGATATATCCTATTTTTTTCTTAATTTTCTCAATCTCGAAACAATGATCCTGCACTGAACATTTTTTTTCGTTAAAAATATTTTTTTACATATATTTATTTCTATAAATTTAATTTTATCAAATTGCACACATAATCATATATTATATTCTGTGAATTTTAATTTATAGAAATACTATAATCGTCACATTT